TCCTCCTCCTCCTCCTCCTCCTCCTCCTCCTCCTCCTCCTAAAAAGAGAGCAACTCTATATACCTAAACAGAACAATTTCTTGCAGTATGCTCATTACTACCTGCACTATCGTGAAAGAGGTCTTTAAAAAATATCCAGAATGGCATCACATTCACATTAATCTGCTGTTTAGTTATGTAATATTGTGTTCAACAATTTCGAGTATGTTTCCATGCGGTCTTCGTTGGACTACAAGGACTAGTTACTTATAGGAGCATATATAACCATCAACTTCATCATTGTCCATTTTGTGACTCCTCAAACGTTCCATACTGTTTTTCTGGTCCATTCCTAACCAGGGCTGACGAAGTAGAATCTCTACGCAGGACTGGTGCGTTCTCTTCATCTCCTGCCGTTTCATGAACCTTAAGATGCACTTCTACTGCATTTGTTCTTCCAAGAAGAACAATTATTGAAATAATAATGACACACAGTAGAACTAGATTAACCGACACAAGCATCCAAATGATGGCTCCAGAGGATTCTGGGTTTTGAACTGCATATCTGATGTTCGTGAAGGAGAAATGCAGGGTCAAAAGAACTAAGGCCTCGACTGTGTTCTCCAAAGGAATCGTTTGGAAAGAATCACTAAACGGCCGGAAGAAAAGCTGGAAGCACAGAGAAAGTAACAGTACAAAGCAAACTGCAATCGTCTGAAATGACGAACCGCGCGATATGAAAGAAAGAGAGAATGCAACTAGCATGCGTCTCATAAGGAAACATATCTCAAAATAAGAACGGAATTCTTTCTTGTATGGTAGGTAGATAGAACCTAGCCAACTGTCCAAAGCCTCTTGTTCTTGCGGAGGCAGCTCGTTTCTTGTGGCGACAATAGCTCTCCGCAGAAGAGGTAAGAACACTCCAAAAGGGACCCCGATCACGTAAAGAAACACTGCAAGCCAGCCTAACACTTGAAGTGTGTTGTAAACATGACCTTTGCACTCAATCCATGGTGCCTCTCGTAAGTAATGGTAATTGTTATCCTCTCCACAAGGGGCCAAGACAGAAGCTATTTTCTTGACAATGGGAAAATAGGTGAGGTTAAGAGACACGATAGACAGTTGTAGACAGGTATTCCGTAATCGAAATCGCCTTTCTTGCAAATTGCCAAGTCTAAGAACAGCAAATAAGAGGTATCCAAGACCACAATACAACCAAACACCCAAGACACAGACAACAGGGAGGAGAATAAGAGATGCAAGCTCGCCGAGTGGAGTAAACAGGCGAGGAATCACACACGCCAAACCTGAGAAATGGAAGTTAAACACATTGCTGATGTAGCGCTGAGTTTTAAGAACTTCAACCGGCCAGATGTCACTGTTGGAAATCAAAGCGTCCAGAGTTTGGAAATAAAACACGCTGATCTTTAGGATTCCTCGCGCGGCCTTACCTCTTCCAGCTAAACCAACAAAGAGAGCAATTGTGTTGAGTTCAAGCAGCCAGCCTGGAATGATGTTGAGTATGGCCAACACTGCCAACAAAATTAATTGAGAAAAAACAAATACTACAACAAGAAAGCGCTTCCTTTCATACAGGAAAAACGAAAGAATCAACAACACCATAGTGACGGCAGTAAGTGCAGCCAAGATGTAGACGCTGGCTTCGGTTTTGGGGCAGGCGTAGCAAAGGATCCCCTGTTTGTAATAGCCATCTTCACAGAGTGAACAAAACCGATCTTTGCTACCTTTTCGACAAAGACAGGACTCCTTGCAAAAGGTTAACGGTCTGCTCTTTCCGTCATTTCCCGCTGAGGTCGATTCAATCCAGCAGTCGCAAGCACCCGTTGGGTTGCAAGACGTGCTTACCAAAGGACTTGTGCCCAAAGCCTGTGAACAGTCAACAAGATGAGTCACGTTCTGATCACGTGATGACGGCCAAAATCCCGCTTTGATGACCATATTCTGAACAGGAAGCATTTGATCCTTGCACACTGCACCTGGCATACAAGGTAAGCAGGTTTTGCCTGAGCCAAAGTATCCAACATCGCAAATGCACAGACGGTAATGATAATAACTAGGATCTAAAACCACAAGTCCGTTGTTATAGTCGAGGTGAGCACTGGGACACTTGAACTTATCAGAAGGATTTCTGCGAGTCAAAGTCGTAAAATCAAACGTTAAGTAGCTAGGAAATGGTCCACTTTCCTTGTGAGATACTTGCATGGAAGGATTATTTGAAATGTCGAGGTTTTTCAGCCCTAGTAATCTCGCAAACTCTGGAGGAATTTGTCCGGAAAGGTTGTTTGCTGAGACATCAATTTCGACAAGAAACAACATATTATCGGGGGGAGAAGAAAGCTTGCCAGATAACCAGTTATTGCTTAACTTTGCAGATTCCAAACTTTTAAAGTCCCAAAGCTTTGAAGAAATAGTTCCAAGAAAACTGCAGTTGCTGATGTCAAGAATACGCAAGGATCCATTTATTGGTTCCATGGCTTCTAAGAGGGTATTGAAATTCACAGTAAACTGTTTATTGCTGGCCAGAATAAGCACTTCCAACGACTGCGACTTAAATTCAAATCCTTCCTCTAACGATGATAACTGATTTCCACTGAAGTCGGCAATTTGAAGCTTTGGAATTGAACCAATGCTTTTTGGAATGTGTCCCGAAAAACAGTTATTTCCTACGTCTAAATGCCACAAGTTTGTCATGTTGCCCATTGTTGAAGGAATATTTCCGGTAAAATTATTTCCTGGCAAAAGACACTCATTCATTGCAGGAAAGTACAATCCAAACTCGTCAGGTAAAGTTCCATTTAGTCCAGCGACAGAAAGATGCATGAAACGTAAAGAAGAAAGGTTGAAAAGGTTTTCTAAACCGCCAAGTAAGTACGTAGCTTCCATAAGATCCAAAAACCAGAGCTTTTTCAATTTTGCAATACTCTTCGGTATTGAACCATGCAATTTATTTCCCCCAAGACTAAGAACTTGTAATTCCGTTAAATTTCCAATGTCCTCAGGGATTTCACCAGTAAGACCTTCTCCCATTTGACAGCAAAGATGGATTTTGACCAGCGATTTTATAGCGGCCAAAATCTTACCAGGAATTACACCAGATAACTTGTTGAAGGCAAGATTGAGACGTAGTATGCGAGTCATATTGGCAGACAAAAACTCACTGGGTTGACCTGACAATTCTTTGTTACTGCCAATGCACAGACCCTGCAAATTACGTAACTTCCACAGGCTTGGTGGAAGAGTCCCAACTAAGTTATTGTCAGTCAAAAAGATGCTGATGACGTAGCGCCTGGTACGATCACATGTGATTCCATACCAGGTGCAGTGAGATACTGAGCAATTTCCCCAGTATGTGTTGTTGGACCAATTATGACCAGCTGTTTGGTTGAATATCTCCATAAGAACAGTTCTTTCCTGCTGGGGTGTTAATGAGGTGTCTAACGTTGTATTTGGTATTGGAATGTCATGTAAACAGCCATAGGCAAATGTATCATCGTAGTTCAAAGGTGTAAGTTTCTTTTCCACAGCTAAAAACAAAACAGACAGATGTTAAGAGTTAGCTGTCAAGGTATGGTTCTGAATGGTACAAAATGCTGTCATGCTGTATTGTTTGCATAGCCCTATCAGACCTAACAATAGAATAGAACAGTATCTTGAACTACGCCCACATTGGTCTCTCTTGGGGGCCTAATTCAAATTTTCAAACGAGCCCGCCCTATTCATTTCACTTGGGAGTCCTCCTCGGGCAAATTTCCAGTTTCCGTCCCACCCCACCCCTCCCCCACTCGCTACAAAGGAGGTCGTTATATCGCGGTGCTATTACTTGCGGCAAAAAAGGCATCTCATTTGTAGCAGCTCCTATGATTTCCGGTAGCTCCATATTTTGAGCAGTTCCCTCCCAAATGTATCAATCAGTAGGAAACGGAGAAGTCGGAGTAGGTTTATCATTGCACCAATACCGAACAAAACAGAAGAAAAACCCTCAGTACATTCAGGGCATCCGGCTAGAGTCCTGAATAATCATCGTTTTCGTCTTCTTGATGCGGTAAACTTATCAGGTGACGCTGTTCTGCTACTTGCTTTTGATTTTTAATGGCAACCAAACAATGGTGATATGTGCGTAATATAATGCCTTTGAACTCTCGTTTCCTTGAAAAACTTAACTGTCATTAAATGTCATAGTCGCAAAGTTAAGCCTTAGCGCCCTCAAAATTAGTCAGGATAAGGGTCAGATAAGGTACCAAAACACTGACTACTCTCAGCTGATATCGGGCTTTTCAATCGTGTACTAGGTCAGTCTGCAAACATGCCTTTACTCGCAGCAAAGAATCCCATATAGTTCAGGAATGAAGTATTTTGAGAATTACGTTTAAAAACGTAATTCTCCGAAAACGGGAGCAGGGTTTACACCGCGACATCACTTCCGTTTGTTCAGTGTGAGACTGATCGGAGGCCTTTACTGACTCTTACGGACCAATAAAAGAAGCTTCCAAACGAATTTGGGAGAACTATATTCTGGGTGTGTAAACATGCCCGCCATCCATGCAAATTATACGACTGAAACACTTTTATACTGAGCTATACAGACACGGGTTGAAGACTTAAGTCACGGGATGATTTCTTGTTTGTGATGTGACTTTCAAATTTAGGTATATTAGGTGCTCTTTTCATCGATGTTAACTTATCTACGCTTTGTTTTTTTATCCAAACAAAATACTGTGGAATACTCATCAACTTACTTACCTATATTGTTCAAGATCTCTCCACCAGATCTCAATGTACTTGCACGGTTGGAAGGTAACTTTGAATCCAATTTTGAAAAACCCCCTCTGTAAAGTCCAAAAGGCTGCAGATCTTTACAGAAAACACTGAAAGTTAAAACGGCAAGTACGGCTAAAAGAAGGAATGAACAGATGCGTGCCATAACGTAAACATAAACGCAAACCGAAACACCACTTACCCGGAAGAGTTGTCATTTGCATTTCCGGTTTTGTGCGATTTTAGGCCAGCGGTTAGCTTCAAAAACGAAACTGCAAAAAATGGCGGAAGGATTCCTTGTTGACGATGAAAAGGAAAGTACGGATGAAAACACAACAAAGTACTGTGATCACCCAGTTTACCGGGAAATATCACTCTCAAATGGACGAATAAATAAGATGAAGAAAGATGAAGTAAAGCGAATCCTCCTTGAACGTGGATTGGACTCGCGGTGAGCAAAAGTGTAAGCTAAATAACGTAATGTGGAATTCCGATTTCTCGAACCTTCATTTATTCGAACCTCCGGATAACTCGAACCAAAAGTCGTTTCCCTCTCCTCAGTCGAACACTATAATTTTAACGCCGATTTCTCCAACCATCCGATTTTTTCGAACCAATTTTCGTTTCCCCCGGAGGTTCGAAAAATCGGGAATCCACTGTATCTTGTACAACAGACGTTGGCAAATTGTACATGGTTTATTCTCTTGGAGTAAGTTTCCGTCACACTTCCTTTTTTCTGCGTGTTGGTGGTGTCGAGCGTTTGGAAAAGTAATCAGACAGACTTTACCTGAACCACTGATGTAGGCTGTTGCATTTCTATCAATGTTTCCCTCCCTCCCCGCCCCCACCCCTGTGACTGGCTGGAGGAACATTTTATGGCTGGAGGAATATTTCAGACTTAGTGACTGTCACCAAAAGAAATAGTTACTTTTGTTTTCCAGGAATCCCCCCTGTCAGAGCCAAGGGAGACATAATTAGAGATTTAATCAAAACAATTTCTGGTCCCCAAGAGAACAGTGATTGAGTGGGATTTTTACAGAAGTGTAGCAGCTCTTGTATGCTGTTATTGTTTAATTATTGTGGCAGCTCTTATTTTTTTAGGGCTAGGGGCATTTTTTCTGTTGTTTGTTCTATTGTTCCCTAAAAGGGTATCGACATTCATGTGAGACCTTACAAGGGTTGCTACACATGACCCGATTTTTATTAGCACAGCTACAATATTAGTAGATTCAGTGAGAAAATAGCAGCCCACATTCAGCATTCATAGGCAACAGTGCAATGTTTCCCTCTGTGAAGTTGTTTGCAATGTTGCCCAGTTCGAGTAGTTCAGTGAGGGATCAGTTTCATCATCAGATGCCATGTGACCTTAAAGTTGCCTATGAAAGTGTATCATGGATATTTCTTCAAGTTTATTTTACTGATATATATTAGATGTGTTTTACCAGTGGTTGAAATTTTTTGGTCAACTGTCAGTAGTCTGTCTCCCAGTTGATAGATCACTAGCAGTCAAAATCATTTCCACNCTCCGTTGCCATAGTTTTGGGTGATAACGTTTCTCTTGATTTTATCACCTTTACTGTTCCAAAGGAAGTTAAAAAAGAGGTCAATTATTTGTTTTATAATTTGAGAGAACTTGAAGAGGCGACAAAAGATGAATTACTTGGGAGGCAACCAAACTCTTAAGAACTGTTATTTTCCCGATAAGGCTTAGTCTTCGAACTGTCCAGCAGCCCAAGCAGTTCCACATTGTTTCTATTTTTTCGACGGAGTTAAGTTTGATTGTAATTTCCGGGTCGGTTGATAGCCAAACTCCGAGCGCTTCAACCCTTGTATTTTGCCAGTTGAAATCTTTTTCTGGGTGCAGTTTTTCACTTTTGCCAGCACAAGAGCCTATCCAAAGAGCCTCAGTCTTTTACTGTTCAGTCTGAGACCTGAAACTTTCTCGAAGCTTTCTAAGATCCTCAGGGCTTCAGAGAGTGACTTTTCTGAACCATCAATAATTAAAGTTGTGTTGTCAGCATATTGGCTCAATTTAATCTCAGTGTTCTTAACTAATAAACCTTTTATGTCTGCATTTTTCCGGATTGCTTTGGCCAGAATTTCGGCTGAAAGAATAAAAAGGTAAGGGGAGAGAGGAAAGCCTTGGCGGACAACCCTGTGGACCGAAAAGAAGTTGGTTGCGCATCCGTTGCATTGTTCATAATACAGCTTTCAGTGTTGTTATAAAAGGGTTTAAACCATTGGACAATGGAAGGGCCAAATCCGAAAGAAATAAGTGTTTCTTGTATAAAAGACCATTCCAATGTGTCAAACGCTTTCTCAAAGTCAAGGAAAAGTAGAAGTCCGGGAATTTGTTTTGCAGCGGTGTAATTAATAACGCTGTCAATTAGACGAATGTTCTCTCCTATAAACCGTCCTTTCAAAAAACCAGTCTGGACATTGTCTATCAGTTTGTGGAGATGGGTCTTCAGGTGGTTTGCAATCGCTTTTGTAGCTATCTTGTAATCGCAGTTCAAGAGTGTAAGTGGCCTCCAGTTTTTGATGTAGCAAAGTTCTTCACTCTTCTTGGGAATAAGTTTTATTACACCCGTTTTTGAGATATAGACAGCTGGCCGATCTCAAAACCGTAACTTAAAGCTTCTAGCAGAGGTTTGGAAACTTCACTCCAAAACATTTGGTAAAATTTAGAAGGCAAGTTATCTGTTCCGGGGCTTTTGTCTGGTTCCATATCTTTCAAAGCATTCCAATTCAGTTAACAAACCTTCAATGGAATCGCGTTCCTCGTTGCTTAAAACGGTGTTGTTCTCCGAAAAAAAAAGTCACTTTCTGGAAGGATCGAGTCAGTTTTCATCTTAGAAGAGTAAAGATCCTTGAAGAAAGACTCGCATTCATAAAGCATTTCCTTATCTGTGGTTGCAAAGTCGTTCTAACATTTCTCTAAGCGACTAATTGTTCCCTGTCTGTAATGTCGTTTTTGTAGATTTAGAAAGTATTTTGTGTTTTTTTCTCCTTCATTATGCCATCGGGTTCTCGACCGTAACATGGCACCCTTTGTACGATACTCAATAATTTCTTCCATCTCACTTCTAAGATTATCAAGTTTTGACTGTAGCAGCGATTTTTGTGTGTCGCTCAGGGCAGTGTTTTCATCCAATTCTTTTTCCAAACCTGATAATTCTTTGTAAAGGATATCCTCACGGGACTTAGTTTTGTAGTTTTTGGCTGCTGCATACGCAATCGATTTTTCTCTTACTTTCATTTTGATCATATCCCAGAGCAGGGTCGGATTAACCGAGTTGTCAAACTGGTATTCGCTTTTTGTTTGGTACATAGTTGTTTTGATTAAGTTCAAATATTCCTCCTCTTTCAAGAGCGAGGTGTTTAGATTCCAAAAGCCTCTTCCTCTTGGGTTGTAGTGTAGGGCTATTTTAAGCAATATCATTGAATGATCGGTTTTGTACCCGGGAACAATGTCTGCCAGGTTGATATCGCAGATTAAATCTGAGCTTATTAAAAAGAAATCAAGTCTGCATTGAATTTCTGGCTTCTTCCGGCGCCATGTATATCTGTGTTTATCAGCGTTCAGCGTTCTCCATATATCAGTTAAGTTCTTTGCAATTTTGACTGATTATTTTCAGCGTATTTAGGTAGGTTCTGGGAAGGACGCCCTTCTTATCCCGGCCCCTTAACATCCAAAACGAGATTGAAATCACCACCCAAGATTATTTCTTCCCACGCAAAGTCATGTAAGTGATCTGGAGACAAGTTCTTTCTTTCCAAACGAACACCTTGAGATCTGAGGGAGACAGGTTAAACAGTGCTGGTGAGTGAGTGATAGATTTCTCAAATCTCTTTTCAGGTTTTAAAGCCATCGACTGTAGTAGAGTGCCATAAATGCAGTATAATTCAACTGAAAATTTTATTGCATGGATATAAGACATAAGATAATTTCGTACACGTTTGACAACAACACGTTTGGCTTATTTTCTTTCAAAAACGAAAACTGAATGGGGGACATAATGTCTTGTTGCAATTACTGTGCAGTGCTTTACCACATATCGTCCAGATGGATTTTACTGTATGACTTTTATAACTTTTTTATTACTTTACCTCTAGACTTCAGATTGCGTGCATGTATTCCATTAACTCGCATTTCTAATATTGTTTTAATTCGGCATAGCTATTTCATAAGGTATCAGTAGAGCTTCAGCAGCAGGTCTTTTCTCTGACGTAGTTTTTCGGTTTCTTGCGGAAGTCGTGTTCATCGTGAATAATTTTTAATTTTTTTTTTTCCTTTTTCATGCTAAGAGTTTTTCATCTGATAGGATTTCTCTGCTGGAAACAAACCCTACCCGGGGATTGCTATCAGACAGGGGTGTTATCAAAACCCGTCGGGTGTGTAAACATGCCTGCTATCCATGCAAATGATACGACTGAAACACTTTACTGACCTATACAGACACGGGTTGAAGACTTAAGTCACGGGATGATCTCTTGTTTGTGATGTGACTTTCAAATTTAGGTATATTAGGTGCTCTTTTCATCGATGTTAACTTATCAACGCTTTGTTGTTTTTTTATCCAAACAAAATACTGTGGAATACTCATCAACTTACTTACCTATATTGTTCAAGATCTCTCCACCAGATCTCAATGTACTTGCACGGTTGGAAGGTAACTTTGAATCCAATTTTGAAAAACTCCTTCTGTAAAGTCCAAAAGGCTGCAGATCTTTACAGAAAACACTGAAAGTTAAAACGGCAAGTACGGCTAAAAGAAGGAATGAACAGATGCGTGCCATAACGTAAACATAAACGCAAACCGAAAAACCACTTACCCGGAAGAGTTGTCATTTGCATTTCCGGTTTTGTGCGATTTTAGGCCAGCGGTTAGCTTCAAAAACGAAACTGCAAAAAATGGCGGAAGGATTCCTTGTTGACGATGAAAAGGAAAGTACGGATGAAAACACAACAAAGTACTGTGATCACCCAGTTTACCGGGAAATATCACTCTCAAATGGACGAATAAATAAGATGAAGAAAGATGAAGTAAAGCGAATCCTCCTTGAACGTGGATTGGACTCGCGGTGAGCAAAAGTGTAAGCTAAATAACGTAATGTGGAATTCCGATTTCTCGAACCTTCATTTATTCGAACCTCCGGATAACTCGAACCAAAAGTCGTTTCCCTCTCCTCAGTCGAACACTATAATTTTAACGCCGATTTCTCCAACCATCCGATTTTTTCGAACCAATTTTCGTTTCCCCCGGAGGTTCGAAAAATCGGGAATCCACTGTATCTTGTACAACAGACGTTGGCAAATTGTACATGGTTTATTCTCTTGGAGTAAGTTTCCGTCACACTTCCTTTTTTCTGCGTGTTGGTGGTGTCGAGCGTTTGGAAAAGTAATCAGACAGACTTTACCTGAACCACTGATGTAGGCTGTTGCATTTCTATCAATGTTTCCCTCCCTCCCCGCCCCCACCCCTGTGACTGGCTGGAGGAACATTTTATGGCTGGAGGAATATTTCAGACTTAGTGACTGTCACCAAAAGAAATAGTTACTTTTGTTTTCCAGGAATCCCCCCTGTCAGAGCCAAGGGAGACATAATTAGAGATTTAATCAAAACAATTTCTGGTCCCCAAGAGAACAGTGATTGAGTGGGATTTTTACAGAAGTGTAGCAGCTCTTGTATGCTGTTATTGTTTAATTATTGTGGCAGCTCTTATTTTTTTAGGGCTAGGGGCATTTTTTCTGTTGTTTGTTCTATTGTTCCCTAAAAGGGTATCGACATTCATGTGAGACCTTACAAGGGTTGCTACACATGACCCGATTTTTATTAGCACAGCTACAATATTAGTAGATTCAGTGAGAAAATAGCAGCCCACATTCAGCATTCATAGGCAACAGTGCAATGTTTCCCTCTGTGAAGTTGTTTGCAATGTTGCCCAGTTCGAGTAGTTCAGTGAGGGATCAGTTTCATCATCAGATGCCATGTGACCTTAAAGTTGCCTATGAAAGTGTATCATGGATATTTCTTCAAGTTTATTTTACTGATATATATTAGATGTGTTTTACCAGTGGTTGAAATTTTTTGGTCAACTGTCA